TGGTAGCGTGAGCTGGAAGGCGCCAGCTTTGTTGCCTGCCCTCCGGTGCGGGACGTCGGCAGCGTCCGAGTCCCCGCCGGCCCAACCGACAGCAAGGTCACCCGACAGGGCTCCGGAGCCAAGAAACGTGGCTTCCGGAGCCGGGGAGCGATCGATGACCGCACGCTGGAGTAGGACTACAAGCACGTGCTCGCGGACGTGGAGAAAGGGTCTCCAGGTGCTCGGCGAGGCCTCTCGTGAAGGACGTCCTGCGCAGGAGATTCGCGACGCGGTGCGCCAGGAACTGACTGAGCTTGAGGAGGTGCGAGCGCGCCTCGACAAAGGTAAAGCACAGCGAGCAGCACATCAGGTACAGTGCAATGGGCGCAGAGCAGGTGCAGGCGCAGCTCGAGGCGCTCCATGGCGAGTTCAGTCGTCAGCTCGCTGCGGCGCGCCAGGAAGCTCGAGCCGAGGTTCAGGGACAGCTTCAGGAGGCGGCCAAAGAGAACAGGCGGCTCCGGGAGGCGAACCAGATGCCCGAGGCGGAGGTGCAGCGCTCCATTGGCAGCATCCCGCAAGCCATCGAGCGCATGGGCGACAAGATCTCGCTCCTGTGCGGCAACAGGGGCATAGGCAAGCCGACCACTTTCGGGGACCAGCAGGACAAGTTTCAGGCATGGAGCTGGAAGTTCGTCAACTTAGTGGTCGGCGTGTACGGCGAGCCCTTCAGAGCTGTTCTGCGGTGGGCCGCGGAGCAGGATCATCCAGTTACCCTGGACGTGGCGACGGACGAGTACGACGTCGCCATCGCGAATCTGGGGGAGAAGATCAGACAGCTGTACAATGCCCTCAGCGGGACGACAGAGGACGGAAGCGAGAGCAACGACCTCGTGACAGAAGCTCGCGGCGGGAACGGCCTCGAAACCTGGCGGAGACTCAACCGCAGGTGGGACCCGTTGACGGGCGCGCGAAAGCGGACAATACTTCGAGGTATCTTTTCACCTCCGCAGTGCACCATGGACGAGTTGAGCGCCGCCCTCGAGAGGTGGATGCAGCAGGCGGCGAGGTGCGAGCGGAGGCGCGACGATCAGGGTAATCTGCTGGTTCTACCGGACGATGTCAAAGCCGCAGCTCTCGAGATGCTCGCGCCGACGGAGTTGGAGAACCACCTCATGCTGAACAAGCATCGCCTGCCAGGCTTCCAGGAGGCCTACGACGAGGTCGTCATGATTGTCCCGGCTCGGACTGGAGCACAGATCAAGGAGCCCTCGATCAAGGACGGAGGCAGAGGCAGAGGCCCGAACGACATGGGCGCAGGGAGCTCAGCGGCCCGCGGCCAATTGGTGCCATGGGGGCAAGGGCGGCAAAGGAGACGGTAAAAGTAAAGGTGAAGATACTGCGGACAAGGGAAAATGATGAAAAACAAACACAGGAGGTTATTGAGGAGGAAGAAAGTGGAGTCCGAGGCCAGCAGTCGAGGGGCGCGGGCGGAGGCCGACAACCTCTGGGCGGAGGAAGTAGTTTCTAGGGGCACTGCAACACGTGCCGCAAGTCGGGGCACAAGGCCTCCGAGTGTTGGTCGAGCCCTCAGGTGCCACCTGCTTCGCGGCAAGCTGGAAGAGACGGCGGAAAGGGCCGCGGCGGCAAGACAGGCAGAGGAGGCGGCTGTTTCGCTGGGCGAGCTGGAGCCGGAGGCTGAGTTAGCAGCTGTTGACATGGGGCGCTTCGACATCGCCGGGGGCGCGCATGACGACGAGTTGCGCATCTCCCCGCTGGGCGACGAGAAGGACGGTCGGTTGAAGTTCAATTGGGACAGCGGGGCTGCAATCTGCGCCTTCCCACGGAGTTTCGCTCCGGAAGGGTTGACTGGAAATGGCGCCGCGTGCAAGACGGCCAGTGGGCGTCGCTCCATGAGGCGAGCCCAGTCGGAGAGAAGGTCGAGAAGCAGATGGAGACGGAGGCCGTGAAGCATGACCACACGATGATGCCCGCTTACCGCGAGCAGAGCGTCTCAATTTTCTACTTCAGTAAGGGCCAGCGCGGCACGGTGGCGCCGCTGGACCACGATGAGCCCACAGTGAAGTCCAAGGAGGAGCTGGTGGAGCTCATCAGGGAGATGCGATCGCTGGGAAGCCAGCGGCAGCAGTAAGCGTAAGCCCGCTTGGTGCGGGGACGCGAAGATGGCACCCGCTGGACCTGCCGCGGGGTCGTCTTCCGAACGTGTTTTAGGAGCTGGCTTCCAAGGAGCAGCGCCGAGTTTCTCGCCAGCGGCGTCGTCCACGGCGGGCGGAGACGCGCGGCCAGCGCACGGCGCCGAGCTTGCCGAGGAAGGAGAGGAGCATTTGAGGTCGAGGCCGCTGACGGCACCTCATGCATCCTCACAGTTAGAAGTAGATGAGCATGAGAGGACAGGACATGCTGTTTATAGAAATTGGCGCGAGACTTGCATCGCTGCACGAGCAGTCGGGAAACCCATAGGGCGAGACTGCAGCGCCGGTCATCTGCAGCGACTACGGCTTCATGGGCCAGGAGGACGGCGAGACCCTACCGATGGTGGCGATTAAAAACCGTCGCTCAAAGAAGGGAGCGGCAACCTTCGTGGAGAAGAAGGGGGGGTAGTTACGCCACCGAGTTCTTTGTGAACTTCCAGACGCACCTGGCGCGCAGGAGAATCATCAACAAGTCGGATGGCGAGGCCAGCATCAAGTATGTTACGGCGGCGGACGCCGTGCCAGGATTGGAGGCGACGCCGCAGGAGGCGCTGTCAGGGGGCCACGCCGCCAACGGCAAGATAGAGGTGATGGTGCGAGAGGTTAGGAGGCAGACGCGGGCCATCAAGCTCGACTTGGAGCCCAGGCTGAGGAGGAAACTCGATGACGACGACCCTGTCTTGGCCCACATGCCCATGCACGCCGCTGCGGTGATGAACCGGCATCGGCGTGGAGCTGATGGGAAAACGCCGGACCAGAGACATACTCGACGTCAGTGGAGGAAGCCGGCGTTGATATTCGGCGAGAAGGTTCTCTTCAGGCCGGCCGGCGATAAGCAGAAACAGAATGCCCTTGACGAGGAAATGCCCGAGGGGCGCTACATCGGCCACCACCTTCGCAACGTGTCGCTCATGGCGATCACGGCGGATGGCGCTATGAAGGCCACGGGTTACCGAAGTCTCCCAGAGGCGGACAGGTGGAACCCCGATGGTTGGGATGAGCTCAAAGGATTGCCGTAGGGCGTGCAGCCGAGGGCACCCAGAGTACCTGGGGCCATTGTTGGTCCGCTCGAGGTCGGCCAGCCTCCGATCGCACTGCCTTCGCTGGCAGTTGCAGCACCTGGGAGGATGTGCATGCTCACGTCGGATGTGGAGAGGTTCGGGCAGACAGGGCTGCCCGAGATGTGCTTCAGTTCGGATGCACTGTAAAGCTCAACCTGGTAGTGCGCACAGTGCAGAGTGCAGCATGCGGATCTTCGAGCTGCTGCAGCGCGAGGAGGAATGTAAGTTGAGGATCACAAAATACCAAGTGAGGAGGACAGAGCAGGAGAAGCGAGCGCCCCAGCAAGCGGTAGGATCCGCGGCTGGCAAGCCTGGTGACGAGGCCTCGCCCGGCAGGCCCAGCAAGAGGAGAGCGGCCGTCAGGGCCGATGCTGGAGCGACGTCGAGCTCTGGAGCCGCCAGCGCGCGCATCGTGGCTGCGAGGGGGCCGCCGGCGGCCGATGCCGCGGCGAGGGCTGATGAGGTCGTCAGCGGAGTGCCGCCCGGGGAAGGATCCGCGGCGACAGACGTGGCGGTGGGCGCAACCAGCCAGAAGCGCCCAGCAGAGCTACGAGGGGGTGCCGGAGGCCCTTGAGAGAGGGGATCAGCAGCCGGACCAGCCGGCGGACATGGGTGATCGGGCCCAGACCAGCTCACCAGTACGGCCCGATGAACAGGTCACCAAAACATGCGCATGTCGCGTGGAATGCGAGACGCGGGAGGTACGCGCACGCTTTGTCGCTCGATGCGGCGTCGTTGGAGGTCGTCGAGGACAAGGGCCTGGCGGCTGCGAAGGCGAAGCTCTACGGCTTGGTTCGGGAGCAGGTGGGGGATCAGTGGGTTAGCATGGGCATTCCCATCACGAAGGAGGAGGTGAATGGCATCGCGTTGATGGTGCTTCAGATCGGCGCGGTGGACCTCGCGGAGTTGCACGCTCTGCATCGTTATTCTGCGAGGGCGGCGGAGTTTCAGATATGGCCGTCTTCGCGGTGAGCCTCGAGGAGCTGATGGAGAAATCGCATTCGAGAGCGTCGGGCTGCCCGGGGCAGTTGGAGTCCGTGACAGAGAGGCAGGAGGAAGAGGATCCAGTTGTATTGTTTGGACCGCCTTCCTGGACACAGTAGTTTTGCTTGTTCGGGCGCAGCGGCAGGGGGCTGCCGCGAGGAAAGGGCGAGGAGGATATCGGGAAACTGCGATTCGACTTTCAGACGTCCGTAGGAGCGCACAGGAGGCAAATGGAGAAGGGTTGTTATTTCCTCCACGAACACCCCTGGAGGTGCAGCTCCTGGGGCGATCGTGCCATCCAGGACCTATTCAACGCGAACGGAATCTATGTCGTCGAGGGCCCGCTGCGCCGGTGGACCGCGACAGCTGCAGACGGCAGCGCGGCCCCATCGCTTCCAGGGCATGTCCGGGAGCGCACGGGATGGATTATCGGGCCGGGCGAAAGGGGGGGATTGGGAAAGGGGGGGTTACGAAATTTGCTGCATGCAGCTGATTTCGGCCTCACCGAGGGGCCCATTCCTCGATGCATAGTCGCCTCCGGCGCCGGGAGGCGCCGGGAAAATCAGCTACGTGAGCTGATTCTCAAACCCCCCCTTTGCTATCCCCCCCTTTCGCCCGACCCGAGATTACCAACTACGCAGGGCTTGCGCGATGATTGGAGGAGATTTCCATTAGGGGTACTGGTGGAGAGCCATGGCGTAGACGCGTTAGTATCCGAGGAGGCGTTGTGAGTTTTGCTCGTGACCGACCGCCTGTCATAGTGGAGGCGATGTTGGAGGAGCTGGCGCTGCGTGACCTTGGTGAGCTCTGCACGGCCCAGACATTGGAGTCGGAACCTGTTCCAGAGCACCCGGCAGTCCCGGAAGGCGAGTGGAACAAGTACTGGGGCGGCGTCAATGGCGGCTACCTCAACGCCAGCATGGTGGACCGGGCCAGGAGGCAGGAACGAGAATTGATTAGGAAGCTGAAGTTTATTGAGACCGTTCCTCATCAGCAGTGTTTTGAGGAGACTGGCAAGCCGCTGATCCCCTTGAGGTGGGTGGACACCAACAAGGGCGTCGCCGCCAAGCCCAACTACAGGAGCAGGCAGGTGGCGAAGGAGATCAAGGCTAAGAAGAAGCCCGGAGAGCAGTTGGAGGCTTCGGAGGTCTTCAAAGCTATGCCTCAGCTGGAGGCCATGAGGATCCTTTTGTCTCTGATGGTTACTTGGGCGCGGCAGGGCCCGCTCCAGGTGCGGGAAGCCATGAGGGGGAGAGGCCGCAAGACAGCCGGCAACTTCAAGATTGGCATGTTCGACATCAGCCGGGCGATTTCTACGGAAGGTGATTTTCGTGGAGGTGGAGGCGGAAGATCGACAGGGGCATGGGGGAGACAAATGCGGTCTTCTTCTGAAGTCTTGGTACGGTGCCCAGGGCGCCAGTGCCATTTGGCAAGGTGATTACGCGGAGCTGTTGCAGGAGCACGGCTACCAACATGGGGTATTCATTCCAGTTGTGTTCTACCGGGAGGTGGATGAAGTACGTCTGCTTGGGCACGGCGACGATTTCATGGTTCTCGGACAGCAGGAGGACATCGACGACTTCGAGAACACCCTGGGGGAAGAAGTACGAATTCAGGAAGACAGCCAACTTGGGTTTCGACAGCACGGACGACAAGCGAGCAGTCTTCTTGAACCGCGTTGTCGAGGTTTCCGAGTTGGTCCCCCCTGGGGGAGGACGGCCATGCAGGCGCGTGTTGATCGAGGCTGACGCGAGGCACTCGGAGATCATCATTCGGGACATGGACTTTAAACGGAGAAGGTTAAAGGCGAGGTATAAATCGAGCATGTACCGCTGCCGTGCCTGGCTCAAGCCGGGCCCGGCCAAATATGTGATTGTGCCTCACCGAGGCGCGCGACTTGTATCTGAGATCGGAAAATACCTTTTCCATTGACGATGCCCATCCTATCCTTTACTCCAGATCCCATGCTTCGTCTTGCTCTCTTGCTCATGCGATATGAGCCAAAGCCTGGGATATGGCAACGCTTAAAGCGTAACACATACCTAAGCTTACCAGCTTGTTTTCGACTTGGTAGCGGAGCTGGCTACACTCTCGTGTGGCTGGCTCTCGCTCTGATTCCTGTAATCCACGGCACAACTTGGTGGACTACTACTACGGTGGAATACCATGTTGCGCCGGCTCTGCGAGGAGCGGAGCCAGTCCGCGATCGAGCTAGCGGGGCAACCCGCGAACTCGAGACGCTCTCTCCTACTTCACTGCGCCACTTCACTCCCGACTTCCACCAGATGCCAATCGGCAACTCGATCGAGAACGTGGTCACCCTGCGGGGCTACCCGCAGCGGGGCCACCTGCATCCCGTGCCAGTCAGGCGCCTCACGGCTACTACGCCAGAGCCTGACAAACCACAGCCTAAACCAATCACCGAAGCCGAAATGCACATGCACTGGATTAAGATAACTATCTTCGGCATTCTGTGGGTAATAATGGGATGTGCTGTGGGATACATGCGGCAGGGGATGGACGACACGCGTACTGCCGGCCCTTCGTGGGACCCTGCCGGTACTACGCCTTTTCGCGAATATGTTCGCGAAGTACATGCATGGTTAAACGTAACGAGCGGCAATATGACACCACCACAACAAGCTGCAGCACTACAACGAGGCCTTCAAGGTCTTGCTCGTCGTATCGCCATGCAGGTCCCCTCCCAGATCATCAATTATGGTGTAACTGTCAATGGACAGCCAACGGATGCAGTAACATATATACTGTACTTACTGAGCACCAAATTTGAAAATCTGGAAGATGAGCGCCAGCTCAACTCTGGCACTGCCCTTATCGACTTTCGCGTCGAAAGGGGCGAGCGAATCGACTCAGTGTTAGCTCGATTCGAGATGGCCCGTGACGAGGCTAACTCTGTTGGATTTGTCATCCCCAACTTTCAGATCCTAACGCTGATTCTCTTCAGAGCGTTAGGCGTTGGCGCGTCACGAGCCCAACACCTGCTGGAGCCCTTTAATCATCAGATGCCCCGAACGCAAGCAGACTATGACAGGCTGCTGACCAGGATGAGGAACTACGGACATGTTGCCGAGCGCTCTCCTGGCAACATTGCGGGTATCTTCACAGGGCACCACTCACATGCAGGTGTCTACGCCACGACTGCGGGGTCACCCGCTGGTCCTGGCGAGCCAAATCCCTGGGCTGACCCAGCCGATATGCCCAACGAGGCCACTGCCCTTTTAGGGCAGACTGGCCAGGCATCGGCAGAGGCAGCTGAGGCGAACGCCTGGTCGAACTACTCGCCAGGCGCCGCCTACACTGCAAGCCCGCCCTCGGGCACAACCCTCTGGGGCCAAGCGGAGTCATCCGCTCAATGGTCTCAGCCACCCTCACCGTTTGAATCTGGCACTGACACAGATACCTCATCTGACGATGAGCACAATGGCATAGTCTCTGCTGGCAATGACTATCCAGCGGATGACACTCACCTTTCTGAACAACAAAGAGCGGAAGCCGCTTTTATGGCTTATCGCAAATCAAAACGCCGTTGGAGGCGCTTTATGAAGAAACCAGTCAGAAAAGTGAGACGTGCAGTACGCCGACATTTCAAACGATTTGGAAAGGGTCGTGGCAAAGGGGGTCGCAGACGCCGTATGCATGGTAGGGGTATTACTGCTTTCCTCACGTCCTTAACTGATATAGCCTTTGAAGAAGTTCTTATCGGAGGCAAAGGTCGGGGTCACAGGCGGACCTCCGGTAAGGGAAAAGGGCGGAGGGGCAACCCTAGGGGCGCTTCTGGCAATACTATGAAGTGTCATACATGCGGTAGCACAGAGCATTTGCGCGATCAATGCCCGAAGGGGAAAGGAAAGGGATCCGTACATTTGGCTCAAAATTCTTTTATGGACGACATAGACTACATTGACTACGAGTTTTACGTCAATCCAGAAGCGGCTCCCGCTGCGGGCTCCTCCACGTATTACGTGATGGCCCGCTACGCTGAAGCAACCGTAGCCCTGGAAGACTACGCAGTGACCCTCTTCGACGAGTTCCACGGCTGGGACGAGGTCGACGAGGTCGCGTTCAATGCTTGGTTCGGTCTTCCAGCGGGGCCACCCGCCGGCGACGAGGTCTCCGAAGCTGAGACCGTCCCGGCGACCGAGGAAGAGCTCACCGCCGCGCTGGCACCGCAGGTGATTGGCATGCCGTTGCTGCCAGATCTTTCGCGAGCTGGCTCGGAGGCGGGAGACGCTGATGACGAAATGCGGGGCCATCCCGCGTATTCTGACTCCGAAGAGGCCGAAGAGGACTATAAGGACATGCTCCAAGAGCAGGTCGCAGAAGCAATCCGGCTCCTGAGTGCGCCAGCACATCAGCAGATAACCATGAACGACCTGCTGTCGCGCCCAGGGGCTGCACGGCTGCGTCCATACCTGGATTCGGACATGTCGGCACCTCAGATGCTGACAGCACTCCAGGCTCTAGCGGGGTCACCCGCCGAAGTGACGCCAGCCGCAACAGCGGGGCCACCCGCTTGGTCTATGGATGTATTTATGCAGGGTTGTGATCAAATGGACCTCAACGACCTCACGATGGAGCAGTTAAACGACATCGGGTACTTCCGAAGCCCGTATCAACACGTATTCATGGTCCAGGACAGCTCAGAGGACTCGGAGGACATGCGCTACGCCAAGAGGGACAGACGACCATCGCCTCCCCGAGACTCAGAGCATGACGATCAAAGGCCAATGGAACGTGGTAGTGCGTCAGCGGGGCCAGCCCGCAGGAGGAGCCGTTCAGCTCCCAGACGCCCTACACATGATGCATCGGGCTACCCGTACAGTACTGAGCACTCCGTTGGTGTATCCGCTCAGCACGTGCCGGATTGGTACATCAACTGGTACCCCGGCTACTCGATGGACGTGATCCGCCACTGGTATTCTAAGGAGTACTGCACCAAAAGGGACGAAACTGGCATGATAATACGTACCAAGGGTGGCAAGACCAAAACGCCAGAGGCTTGGGACAAAAGGGCTAAGAAACAGGAGATCATCAACGATCGCAAGACATACAGGAAACAAGTATGTCAGTGCGAGCCCTTCAAAGGTCACATGCGCAGTTGTCCGATGGACCGCCCCTCCAGGAGTCCTCATCACGGTGAGACCCCGTGGAATTGGTCTCATGGAGATGACGCTGGCAACGTCCATGATCCTAACAAGGAGGTCCCTGGAGGAGGAAAGCGCATCACCGAAGCCGATCGCGTCCCTATGACCGAAGAGGTGGCCAACATCGTCAGGGAAAATTGGGTACAGCTTCCCAATGACCATCGCCTCAAGGAATGGAACCGCCGATTCCATAAAGAGGCGGGGTCACCCGCAGGATCCAGCAAAGAAGCGGGGTCACCCGCAGACGCGGCGCCAGCCGCTGGGTCCGCGGACGAAGATTGGATAGCTGTTGCATCTGCTGCTGGGTCCGCCGCCGGCACTGACCACACCGAACTGAATGAAGAATGGGCGGCGGAAGACGGCTCAGAGAATCCATTCCCTGATGGATGCGCCTGCTGGTACTACAGCTCTTCGGCGCAGAAGTGGTTTTGCACGAGGGTAATTCACCGCCATGAAAATGGCAAGTACAAGCTGGCCATAAAAGGTACTGCCGACATCGACCAGATGAGGCAGATCATCCATGATCATGGCCAGCCAGAAGGCCCTCCTAGAGACCCTCCTGGTCCACAACCGGGCAAGGGCAGCAGACCACCTCCAAGACCTGAAGCCGACTCCTCGTCTTCACCGACTCCTGCGAAAAGGCACCCGTCCAAGAGCCCCGAAGGCACACAGGGGCGGGCGAAGGCCAGAGGGATCGCCAAGACGGACGACCCTGAGCCGGTAGATCCTCCCGGTCTGTCCGTGACGGAGAGGAGGAAGGCTTTTGCTGGACCATCGACCCCGATGCCACCGGCGACCCAAGGCGATGTCAAGGACGAAGTTCGCGACAAGCCTCAGGCAGCTTTCCGAGGTGACTGGACTCCAACTCTGCATCAGCCGCGCCTTGCACCACGACCAGGTTCGGCACGAATGAAAGCGCAGCCGAAGCCCGAAGCTGGGATGAGGTCGGTGCGGGCAGAAGCGGCCGCCAAGGCTAAGGAGGACAAGGGCTCTGCGGGGCCACCCGCTAAAGCGGCGCCAGCTGCAGCAGCGGGGACACCCGCAGAAGGCACTCTCTCAAGAGAAGAACGCTTCAAAGTCCTCAAAGAATTTGGCGACCGACAGAAACTAGCCGATGATGCAGTTGCTGACCAAGGTCACCCGCACCCTGGCGCGGAGTCATCCGCTGGAGCTGCCTCGTCAGCCGCAGGCTCTGCTGGGCCACCCGTTAAAGCGCCGCCAGCTGCATTAGCGGGGCCACCCGCGCGCTGGCAGCCAGTAATGTCTGTTCTTAGGAACATCCCTCTGGGAGCCATGGAATACTGGCAAGGCATTGAAGGCAAAGGCCCGAAGCGCACCATAAACCCACGAGTCACTCGAGACGATACGGACCGATACGAGGTCATTAATTGCCCTGATCGTCGTAACTTCGAGTGCCGCAACGACTGGGAACGTGAACAACAAACCGTGGGAAATATGTTGCGAGACAGGCCGCCACTACGCGTTGCGCAGCATAAAGCAGAGCTCCTGAAGGTCATGGAGAGGTTCGGCATGGATCCGACTTTGCCGCGCGAAGGGCAAATGACCAAGGTGTCAATATGGTTCTCTACAGCCCTACGCCATAGTCCATATTGGAAGGACGGATTCAGCCGACACTTCGAAAAGATCAGCACTTTCGATCCATACGATGGCTGGGTTGTTGTTGACGATCTGCTGACAAACTGGACTGAAAATGATCAGTGGAAAGGCTATCGTGAAATGCACGAGGTGCTGATCAAGGGCAGGCCCCACACGTCATACGTGTATTGGGTGCTGCTAAACTGCTGTGAGATGATTGACCATCACGGCATGCAGAAGGGCAGGCTCCAGATGAAGTGCGTTGATGACAGCATGCTGCTGCCTCCCAGGTTTCGACCAACGGCACGCAGGCCACAGTACTTCATCAGAGCCACGAACGGCCACAGCAGTCCAGGCATCCACTGTCCCGAGTCGCTTTATAAGCCGATCACAACATGGATGAAAGAACCAGACGACCCAGTATATTTCATCCACGGGACACAGTGGGAGTATGTCAAGGACATCCTTGCTAATGGCCTTTCATGCCTCGCACAGGACAACCCTAAAAGGAAGGGGGGGCGCCAATTTGTGCACGGCTGCCCCTACCTCCCGGGCGACCCGAGGATTCAATCGGGCATCCGTCCTGACTCGGAGGTGCTCATATTCTGCAGCATCAACAAGATGCTGTCCAGTGGCTTCTCCCTATGGAGATCAGCAAATGACATAGTCATGACACGGGGCCACGACGGACGTATACCGCCCGATCATATCCTCCAGATTGTGAGCATTGCGAAATATCGGGTCGGCGAAGCCTGGAGCAATCCGCTGGCTTATGACAAGTCGCGGAGGCGGGGCCAACCCGCGGACAGGATTCGCACCGATGACTACCTGCCACTTAAATTGTGTGACAGAACTCTGGGTGTAATGGAAGATCACGCCATGTACCTAAAGGGCTGGACTAAGACGGACGGTCGCCCATTCAATTTGATCATGACCGAGCAAGATGTTGCTCCACGACCGTACGACACACAGACAGTCCTCATGATGAATGCCCAGGAGGACGAGGTCATGCCTGAAGCGGGGCCACCCGCAGGTGCGGGGACACCCGCGGTAGACACCTCGGACGGTTCATGGCAACAAGTGGTCACACCAGTAGCAACGGTAGCATCTCCTTGGAGGCCGGACCAGCAGACATGGGTCCAGGCCCTCAACAGCTATTTGACACCAGCCGACGTCTCTGGACTGACCGATCAGCTATATCGTGCTGACCCGTGGGCAGTGCATACAGGTATCCAAGACGCACAGCAGAGGAACCTGCGCACTCCTGCGGGGCCACCAGGCGTCCTAGGACCACAACCACAACGCCCTCCGCAGCAGGCTGGAGGTGCGAGGTTTGTCCCTATGGGCGGTTCAGATGGTGGCTCGCCGTTTCGGACTCCGCCGTCTGAAACGAGCGAGAACAGCTTGTGGCAAAGACTCCAGGCGATTCGCGGGAATCCGGCGCTCGCAGCAGCACTCCAGGCGACCACTCCCTTTGGCACTCCGAGGGGTAGTGAAGGAGGAGTGGCTGCGGGGACACCCGCCGAGCGAACGCCTGCGGAGCCACCCGCACATGCGGGGCCACCCGCTGACGGACAGCAAGGTTCAGACTACGAACGTCGGGCAGCCAACTTAAGAGCACAGGCTACCTTTCTGCAGCAACAAGCTGATAGAGTGCCCAGCCTGTTGCGGAACCGCAACATAGATGTTACGAATCATGGCGACTTTCGGCCTCTCTGGAGCTGGACTTCTGAAGATGCTCCAAATGCTGATCCCACGAATCCATATCGACAGGTGTTTATTCCAGGAATAGCATCACACCCAATATATGGATGGGACAATCATGGACCAGCAGAGGCACAGGCCATGGACGCGCCGATGTACCCGGAGTACTACGCGCAGATGAATAACACTCCTATGATTGCGGGGCCACCTGCGAACGAATACACTCGGAATCTTGCCAATGAGATGTTTCGTTTGCAGTTTACACGAGCGGTCGATGCGCAGTCTATGCCGCACTACGCCTACATGCCCACGCCGACGGACCCCGAGACCGTAGTTCAGCCAGCTGGTCTCGCGGTGCCAGCCGCTATGGGCAGCATGCCAGACTACATCCGCGACGTGCACAACACGCAGCAAGCGATACTGGCATCTAGGCAGCAGGCTCGGGACAACGCCAGGCTGCGCCAACAACGCGCGATCCAGAGAAGGATTGAGCGTGAGACCCAAGCGGGGACACCCGCAGACGCGGGGCCACCCGCTGAACGGACAGATAGACGGCCGCCACCGACGCCATATCGGGAGGGCGAAACCACTTTCGAGCGCCAAGCTCGGACTCGCCCAGACGTGCCTGCTCCAGTCATTTCAGACTACAACTTCACACAGTGCCCAATCTGTATGGACACCTACGAGATGGGCACTATAGTGTGGAGACTGGCGTGTGGGCACTTCTTCCACGATATATGCTGGGATCGTGTTGCACAGCAGCACGTCCGCAATCAGCGGCCAGGTGCGCCGAACGAGGCCCCCTGCGCTGTATGTCGTGGGCCGGGCATAGTTATAGCACATTTCCCGTGTGCTGGACAGCGCGACGCTGAGTCAGAACAAGCGCGCCAGCAGGAAAGATACGTGGCAGATGCCCGGGAAATGCGTCGGCTACGGGAAGCAGTGGAGGCACTAGAGGCTCGAGCCGCACAATCGGCGGAGCCATCCGCACGTGCCCCAGCTGCACAGGCATACCCCTGGCCAGCGCCAGAGCAAGGCATCCAGATGCCAATCCTGCCTACGCTTCGAGCACAGGAGCCCCCAGCTGCGGGGCCACCCGCTGAAGCGGCTCCCGCCGCCAAAGCGGGGCCACCCGCAAATGGACCTCCAAATCCAGGTTTCCTGAGGGCAATGGAGGCCAACATCAGGCGGAGTGGCAGGAGCGGAGGCGGGACTCGAAGGCCAACTGGATCATCCAGGACCTCGCGCGTGGCAAGCCCGGTCAGCGCTAGGAGCCGGGCAAGCGCTGAGAGCGCGGAGGCAGCCCAGTTCCACACCACATTCATGATCGATACAGAGGGGCTGACCTATGCACGTGACGACACGGACACGCTGCCGCCAGGAGGTGAATGGATGTCCACACTATCTGCGAATTATTGGGTTCTTGAACAGGAACCAATTACCGTGGAGGAGCGCCGCCAATATGAGCAGATGTGGTGCACCGAGTTAACCATGAGTCAATGGGTGCTTGAACAACGCCTGTTGAAAGGTACACTCGGTTCGCAGATCACGTACCACACCAATGACCATGGTACAATGGCTCTGGCAGCGCGAAATGGGACATTCTTTCCTGACGAAGACGGTATGCCCTGCATCTCGTTCATGCTAGACATTGGGTCCAACGTGAACATCATTGGAGCCAATACGGCGCGAACCTTCCAGGAGATTATGGCCAGGTACAATCACAGACCTGCCATATGCACCCTGAGCAAGACCCTCTACATCAATGGTGTCGGTGAGGGCGCTGCGATATGTCGGAAGATGGGCAACTTCAAGATCGGGGTACAATACGCCAATGAGGCAAGCCCCCGTATCGAGGAGTATGCCTCCAACATCGCAGAAGGCTCGGGTGCCAATCTCCCGGCCATCTGGGGCCTAGGAGCCATGGAAGCACGTGACACGATCATCGTGCTGAAGCCAGGCTACCAGAAGGTTATCTTCCCCAGCGGTGACTACACCCTGAAGCTGGGAAGGGGCGCCAAGGTCCTGAAGGCGAAGAAAACTCCCTCGGGACATCTCGCGATTCCCTGCGGTTTGTATGACGGGGCTAAAAGCCAGACGGTCACGAACACCTTCACAATCCGCAGCAGTCGAGATGGCTACACCGAGACGGAGAACGAAGAGGACCCCGTCAGTGCGGGGTCACCCGCCGGAGTAAGTGCGGGGCCACCCGCCGGAGTAAGTGCGGGGCCACCCGCCGAAACCACAGCGGGGCAACCCGCGACGGGACAGTCCATGACCGTCACGACCGATACGTACATTGTCGAGCCGTACCTCGACAAGCAGCTCCTGGAAGACACGACCCGTTTGATCGTGGACAGGACGCTGAACAGCTGGTGGGAGGGCCAACAGTGTCCCGAAGGGACCTGGCCACATATGAAGGATGCCCTGAAGTCTAAGATATTCTGGGCAGTCCAGGAGGCGGTGAATAAATGGACGCCTGAGAACCAAGCGGGGCCACCCGCGACACCGCCACCACCACCAAGCTACACGGGCGGAGGTTCGTCGGACTCTGCGGGGCCAACCCGCGTGGAGATCGTGAGCGTAGCCGCACCAGCGCCTCCTGCGGAGCCATCCGCTAACAGCATGCCCCCGAGTCAGACGGCAACGTGGTCACACGACCGCCGCTGACGGGGGCAGGCGGGCGCGCCGGCGGCGCTCGCTTGCGAAGAGAAGCCGAATACCGGCCTCCTCGCTACATACGTTGGCCGCGCTGAGGCCCGAGAGGAAAAATATCATTCAAAATGTCTTGTCATCGAAGATATTCGCACAGCTTGCGCTGAACTCCGAACCCGTGGATATATATGCGACCGGATTACCCATAATGAGGTAATGACTTCAACTGGAACACAGTATTTGGGAAATTTGTTGGCAGGAGACTACAATATGTTGTGGGTGGCCACACCCTCTGATTGGTACGTTCGTACTCCAGGAAAGAGGGCGGGACCACATTATCAACGTATACAAAATCTCCTGATCAAAGCGCGTGCTCTGAGAATGCAGATAGTTATCCTGGGGCCACCCGGGTATTTCTGGAAACAGGGTCCGATCAAAGATGTTATCGAAGATTTGAAGCTAAGCATTATACGAATGAGACTCTGTCATTTCGGTATCAAGTTTGACCGATCCAGTAAATATCCCAGTGGTTCTTATATACAAGTTGCTACATCTTGTCCTCATATACCGATAAACTTATGGAAATGTACTTGTGGCTCACACAAGGAGCATGATTTGGATTGGTATGGCCAAGATCAGCAACGTGCCGAGCTTCGGTATAAAACTTTGGCTATCATTATTGCACGCTTCCTTGATCAACTCGATAAAGCCAACATGATCAGGAATGAGCGGAGTGCGGTACACCTCAGTGTGTGTACTCGCGTTGACAAAAAGGTCAGACACTACGTCCAATGTCCACAAAAGGGCCCTCAATGGGACCATGTTGTTCGTAGAGTCACGACCGACCTGGACACGAATAAGATCGTTCAAGATATCAGAATCCAGGATCAGCCAACTGGG